ATAGTGATTCCCGTGGTGTCAATTTCATTCCACGGGGAACTGGCATGAGACATACTCACCCAACTCATTTCACCCCGGACACCAACAATATTCATATGTTCAGGGATTTGGGTCCCTGCTGACTTGAGCCAGGTTCAGAATAGGGAGCTCGTGGTTATAAGGTTTCTGTCCCATTATCAAATCACCCAGGGTGCTGATTTTGTTGCTAGGGAAGGTCCAGAAGAATTGACTAGCTGGCCTTCTTGAAGTCCTTTCCTGCTCAAGCGGTTGTATTTTGCTTCGTTTGCATGTGTTGCGTTTGTGTGCTATAAAGTGTGGTGTTTCAGGCTAATGCTCTTGATCAAGATGTTTCTAAGGTGGTAAGCACATTTTCATTTGAATGGTGGACTTTAAAATTTGACTTGTATCATCCAAGACATTGCAAGTTGAGATTGTGATTTATTTTTCTTTGCATGGGATTGAAGTCTGCATCATCTAGGGAGACAGGAAACAAAGGTTTGTTCTTTCTAAAGATTTATTTTGATGCATCTGCAACAAGTCCAGGAGAGAACAGAGTCAAAAGCCTTTTGGGTGTGGGCCTGGAACAAAGCACAGTTACTTGAGATAAACAAATAGGGGGAAAAGACTTATCAAAGAAAGAGTTAGCCATACACCCAGTTTTGAATGGTACTTGAACAGACTGGTTAATTTGGTAACTTGCACCTAACTGAAGTCAGATCGACTTCTGCTGAATAGAAGTTCTGGAGACCTGAAGACATAGGGCTAAAGTCATCATCCCATCCATCTGTCCTGTACCACACATCTTCCAAATCTCTAGAAAGTAGCACTACTTTTCGGTGTTGGCATGGAAGATCTAGGATCTTCAAATTAGAATATCAGACTTAATCCTTGGTTCTATACCTCATTGCCACTGATTTATTTTTAGTCATGGGAAAATTATTTAATTCATCTGCCCCTTAGTTCACCCATTTATAAAAGGGGCTAATAATATTTACCTGAAATTGATGTTCATAAAAGGCTTTGGGATTGCTTGAATGAAAGACACTACATACATAAAAATATTATAATATACATGCATGAGACCATTTCTCTGTCTCTCTCTCCCCATTCACTATGGGTGCAACATGTCCTGTATATAACAGGATGCATTTTTTTGTTTTAAATGCAGTCTTTAGTGTCTGCACCTCAGTTTTTTCATTTGTAAACTGATCATGCTAATTCTCACCGACTCTATGGGTGGTCATGGCAACAAATTTGAAAAATCTTTGAGACACTTAATTTGATTAAATCATTGAGTTTATATCCACATTCAGGCTATGTCTACATTGCAGTTCTTTTTTGGAAAAAGGTGCGCAAATTGTGAACTGCAATTTGCATACCTTTTTCTGGAAGAGGCTTTTCCGACATTTGGCCCATCTACACGGGGCCAAATGTGGGGAAAACCTCTTCTTTTGGAAGAGCCCTTATTCCTCATAAAAAGATGAATACAAGGCTTCCGAAAGAATGTGCCCGCTTTTTCAGAAACTTATCTGAAAAAGTGGATGCGTTCCCTGGACGTAGCAGAATTTTTCCAGGATACTGAAAAAATCTGTAGTGTAGACATAGCCTCAGGGAAAGGAAGAAGTAGTGGACCATTCATTAGAACAAGCTTAAACTGACAAAGAAAAAGAATGCAAGGGTAGATATGAGGGTTGTCACCTAATTGGTGACCTGAGAGCAGGGCAGTAGAGTTCAAACAGATGACCAGAGAGGCCAGAAGAGGTATTATGGGAAGAGTGTGGGAGGCCGCTCACAATGTAGTATCCACAGAGCTGGTTTACTTAGGGTGGGTGTGTCTAGACTACAGGGTTTTTTAATCATGGTAAACCTCATTCTGCGAGGAATAATGCCTGAGGAAAGTACTCTTTCAAAAAAAGGTGCTATTGAATGCAACTGTGCTTTTTGAAAGAGAGTATCCAGACTCTTTTTCGAAAAAGTGGCTCGCTTTTTTGAAAAATCTGCTTGTAGTCTAGACGCTCTCTTTCGAAAGAGGCTTGTAGTCTAGACGTAGCCGGTGTGTCTACACAGCAGGGCTTAACTAGAAATAAGCTCTGAGAAGAACATTTATTGCAACTTAGTATTTATTACAAGTAGGGAGTCTCATCTCATTACAATATGCAATATGCACTAGGAGTTAGGAAGAGAAACGTACCAGTCTCTTGTACACCTAGTCCAACAGAAGTGTGGTGGATTAAAATGCAAAATTCCACCCCTGCTAGTGGGGGAGGGTGACTCATTATTTGTGATCTGTCCTCACTGATCAGAATTCATTAAAGAGTCTGGGCTGGTCTTCCCAGCAATCCAAGGAGACCTAGTGAGTAGCCTTGCTATTTCAGACTGCCCCCCCCCCCATGTCCACCCTAAATATGCACCACTGAATATTGTTATCTTTGCCACTACTAGCTCAAGACTAGTATAAGCTGTTGAAACAAGTATGAGTGATCCAATAGTGAATAAAACTGACACATGTGCTCCATACTTACACAGAAACAAAGGAAATCAATCTTTTCCATTG